ACGCCAATTTACAGATGTATGTGTTTCTGAAATATCTTTTCCTACATTTTGGTAGATATTAGTATAGGAGGTTTGCTATGTTTAAGGGTAGTCTTAAAGTGACCTGTCTGCCAAAATAAAAAAATCAATTTTCGCTACGAATTCGCCACAAATTATTGGTCGACCGGTTCTGGCACTTGAATGCCATGTTTTAATTTATATTTAATTAAATAATTTAGTTCTAAGTGACTGGCCAGCCATTAAGAACGTCTTGTCTACCTATACATTTCACAAGGAACTATCGATATCAGTTACTTTTATTTGACGGGCTTATAGTTTTAAAGGTCTAAATTGGGTAAGATGAGTAGCTTTATAGGATTTGTAGACAAACATGATATTACTTAGGGGAATTTTTAATCGCGTACACCACACCTGTAAGTTTCTCTCGACCTTTTGTTTTAATACAGATTACGTAAAGCGATCATCTATATCAAGACATAGCTGGTGAAGGCTTGAGGTAAGATAAATGAATGTCACAAACAATCACGGATCACTGACGTCGTGCCGTTACTACAAACATTGTGCACAGGCCCGTAGCCAGCAAATTTCAAAGGGGGGGGGGGAGGATATTTTTCTGAGAAAAAAAGAGAACCATTTACCATGAGCCTTCGTATTCCTAGATAAAATTTTACCCAGAAAAGCCCATTTCCGGGCAAAAAGGGGGGTTCTTTTGTACCCCCCTGCCCTCCTTGGCTACAGGCCTGGTGTACAATATGATAAGCCTGTTGGACTTATTAATGATGCAACAGAAAACTATATTATATTATATTGCCGATAAGCGGCAGAATGCCTTGATTCACTGTAGCCTACCCCGTTGAAACTTCAGTCATTGCATTCGGATACGATCCGGACCAAATCTGATTTGGACTTGTAGGCATCTGACAAACAAATCGATCAATTAAAGAGACACCTGCTAGCTGGCCTGCATATGAACCGTGTGTGAAAACAAAGCCTCATAGAACAGCAAAGTCAGAAAGTGGCACTCAAAATTATCAGCCTCCTCCTTAGTTGTTCTTGCTGCACGGATACATATATATATAATCGGTTTGCGCTCCTCCTCGTGTTTCAGCACACGGTATTACGTAATTCGATTTTTTACACATACAGAAATAGAAACATCAGTAGCGTTTTTGTACAACAACAAGATAATTTCATTACACGGTGAGTTTCCCAGTTCAGAAAGCACGGAATCAATGGTAATTGATAACGATGACACTGAAAAGCACTTTGCTCCCGCTGTGCCAAATTACGGGTCGTCCGCAGTTTTTGCTTTACAAATATTTATATGTAGCTTGACTTAAAATAGGTGGACCCGTTTCCACTCGATACTGGCAAATATTAAGATAACCATACTCGACTACTATCCGATATAATGGTTCAATAGGCAGAAATGGCAGGTCCAAGCGTCTGCTAAATTTCAAATATTGCAGGCCCTGCCAAAAAGAGCCAAAAATTATTTTCGAAAAACTGCACATGAATATCCACGTTTTTTGAGGTGACAGAGGCTCCCCCATGATGGAGAGTCTGCTCCCCATTCATTTGTACAGGTAAGTCTCGCCCTAGAATGTTAATGTTTCAATGGGAACTAGACCCTGCACCACAGGGAACTCTCTCGAATATGACGCCGGCAAGCTGTGCCAAGTCTTTGGCAATTATAGCGAATCTATCAGGCCCGTAGCCAGAAATTTCAAATGGGGGGTTCTTTTTCTGAAAAAGTGGACCTTTTACCATGAAACTTCCATGTACCTTTATTAAATTTCACCCAGAGGGGACCTTTTCCCTGCAAAAAGGGGGGTTCTTTCGAACCCCCCGAACCCCCCCTGGCTACGGGCCTGTCTATTTTACTTATTCCAGTAATGAAAACGCATTACGCAGACCATTTTGTTAGAAGGAAAAGGACGCTTTACAGTTCTGTATCGCAAAGCGAACGGCATTCACGCGTTTTGTATTTACATCTTTGATGAGTTTTTTTCCCAAAGGAAGACAGAATACTATTTTGAGACGAATTTTAAGATGATATGATTTTATATCATTATGTCACAAAGACATAATCCAATCACAAATTCATCAAACATGCCATCAGCTTTAATTAAAGAAAAATCTAGAAAGTCGATCGTGCTTCGTCTAAAAATACCTAACTCGACTAGAAGACATTTACTTGCAGCATAAACGTCGTGTTTACAAATGTCGTATAACTCAATATGCAGTATATGGAAATTATTTCGAAGTACTTTTCTCTAATTAAAATCTCGGTTCTTTTTGTGTGAGTTATGAGCGCCAATAAAGCTCAAGATAATCTCAACGGAAGTACAATAATCTATGATTCTACAGAAATGTAAGTACAAACTGAGAGTCGGTATATAACTTCATTTTCAATATCTGTTCGCGATTGTTTGTCCTTTTCGTTTCAGAAATCAATCACAACTTATTGACTGTGACATCATACTACATTCAATTATTTACGGGTGATCTATCTTCATCAACTTACTTCAGTGATTAGTTAGAAAACGATTCAATTGCATTCTATTAATACACTCAATACTTGAACAAATAGAAACGTTAATGGCAAGTCTAACTGATAAATTAATCAATGAAGAGTACGATTGCCTTTTCTTGTAGTAATCTTGAAACGCTTTTGGTGTATTTCTCTGTGTCAATTCCTATTATCATTTCTTTTCCACGTACAAAGATATATTAAGGGAACGATGAGACAAGGATAAACATATCTTAACCGGTTTTATCAATAGTCGTAAAGGTGTAGGGTCGGCGCGGGGAGGGCGGAAACCCCCCTTCACCCATTTTTTTCTGAACCTCTTCAGTCTTAAGCACAATACGTAGTGGGGAGCTTAACAGGGGGGTTTCTGAACTCTAGCTAACTATTTATCTGAATAACGGTCTATATAATTTACACCCTAGACACGCTTTACAGCTTATTTCTCATCAACAGGCCCGCTGATTGCATATGAAAATGTTTGCTTAAAAAAAGAAAAAAGGTATTTTTAATTAAAGTAGTCTGTGATTCTAACATACATGTAATATATATATATATATATATATATATATATATAGAGAGAGAGAGAGAGAGAGAGAGAGAGAGAGAGAGAGAGAAGGTTCACCATGATAACATCCTTATGTTGAATACATCCAATGCTAAATTTCAGTAAACCTTTACAAAGTCAAGAATATTAACGCATGCTGTGCATTGCAGGGAGCCATAAATCTGGGTGATGCTGACTCTGCATAGAATACCAGCTATAAAAAAGGACTGCGACAAACCTAGCGAAAGGCATGATTGTAACAACAATTTCTAAAACTGTCCTATGGAGGCCCTGTTGATGTGACTTTACTTTGAGTTTCACTAGTGTATTTTAAATGTACACATTCTACTGTGTGTATGTTTAGTTAATAGCTGTACGTGTATATACAATCGTGTATTAAAAATCAATTAATTTCTGACTAAAGATATTGCACTAAAGATTATGTTTGCAGATTGTCTACAGTTTATATATGATTATGATAGTACCTAATCATGGCTACATGCACAGGGGTGTATTTGTTTATAATAAAGCTGCTATAGTAATACATAATTTATTGCCGAATTGTCACCAGGCGTCATTCTGCATGTATGTGATTCATCGCAGCGCACTTTGCTCATGCAAAAATACATACATTCTTGATCAAAATGGTTGTCATACCTCCGATTTAATGTGTTACTGTTATTGTTACGGTAACTGCTGCGAGGTGATGATTTGAAAACAAAAACACATGGAGGTACGTGTGACTTACAACTTATTTGGTCGAGAGAGTATACATACACATACTTATAGGTAATATGTACGGGATGATTTTCCAGCTCAATCTAATTATCTCTACGGCAGACAAGAGATACATTTTGGTTGTTTGATTAATGTAATTATTGATTATTAACTGGTTAATTATAGATGAATTAAAAAAAAAGAATTGAAACGATTGACTAATTGAATAATAATAATGGGAACTGCATTAATTTATATTTTTGATTTAACAATAACGAGAAGTGAACTGCCTTGCATTGGTCTGCCCTCCTATTGCTTTAAAATTTTTTTCGGGTTGGGAGGGGGGGGGGGTTGGGGGGAAGTTGTGAGGGAATCGTTTTTATGTCTGAATTGTGTAAAGGGAAACAACTTTGCGGGATATTCAGATAAAAATACGACTCTGGGGTATACTCAAACGCGTTTGAAATAAATTGAAGCGTGGAAAATTAATATTTGTCGTACAGTACGTCATTGATAGTTTCATTTTATCTAAATCATTTAATAATAAATCGGTTTTATTGTTAACGGCGATGAATTAATTTTTCTACTGTACTTTGTTTGGCCTGGTTACCAAAAATGATCAAAATCTATTTAAAAAAATGAAAAAAAATGTCGATATCGCCATGTTTTTTTTTAATTGGTTAATGTGCCATATAATGCCAACAACACAACCTCAGGGCGGAATCATGAACTATGAGCATAACTGTTGCAGGCATATATCATCTTAATAAAAGCAGCATAAATAACTTAGGTTTAACACGGAATACGATTTATGACAACGGCTTTTATCAATAACGATTAGGCCTGCGTTCTGCGTTGATGTTTCTGACTCAGTTTGCAAGCTAGGTAACAACAATTCATTGACGTTGCTTTCATACGGCCAGCGTTTTTACTGGAATGTCACAATAAAGAACTACCAAATAAATGAATGAATGAATGCATGAATGCCATTAAATGAATAAGCAAACCCAGGGCCGTGGGCTTAAGAATTTCTTGTGAGGGAGGGGGGGGGGGGCAGATTATTTTTCAGCACCCGTGGTTATTATCTAGCAGCTGACTGCAGAAGCAAACAAGATACATGTACGTCCAATGGACTAGGAGAAGGGTAACATATTATAAAGACACCCCGTCCCCAACTCCAAAACATCACTTATGAGACCAACTTACCGTGAACTGTTGACAGACGTAATACGTTTTCCGTCTCGGCACTTCGGCTTCGGTTAAGCGAATGTCGAACGTCCTAATTCCAGGCTCTCTGGTGACAGGACACACTGCTGGCGGCTCTGTCACCTCGTCACTTCCTGTCACATAACGGACATGGTATACAGTAAGAGCAACCACCACAAAGATGGCGCGAATCGTCATAGTGACCATTTCACAGACCGAATAACTGGTCTGGTTTTGTTACGTCCTTACAACGGCTCGTATTCCGTTCCTGTTGTCTGTGTATTCCTAAGTCAAATCCTCTCTTTTTCTTGGTACGAAGGGGGTCTCTACACCGGTTTTTATAGAAACGACAGTGCCGTTTGATACACGTAAGTCCAGTATAACGTGACGCAGCGCACGGTGAAGAGCACTCTAATAGTCCAGGTGGAATTGCTCCCACGGTGACACTTCGTATTCAGTCCATGACAGTTAAACCTATCTACCTATTACGACGACCTCAAGGGACGAAAATGTCTGCGCATCTGCCGTGTTATCTTTTGCTTATCTGTTAAAGAATATGAACGGAATAATTTTATTAACAGTCTATACTATAAGGCAGTGTTTGCAGTATGGAGTATATCCTAGAAAGAAATTGTGTTGCTACAGGAATAATGACTATGGTCTTATCAGTTTCTATTAAAGATGTAAACAGAAGCTTTTTTTCCTCTTAACTCTCAATAAATCAGCGTTGCTTGTGCAGCGAATATCACAGCATATTCCGTCGGTTTTTTCTATTATAAATAACAATCAGTGTAAACAATGAGAAACACTTTTTTTAGATTTCTATTAACCACGTGGAATGCCCTTTAAAAAATCCCTGCCTAAAACGACCGTCTTCTGACTCGATTCGAACGAATTTTGCTATAGTGCACATGTATTGCTATTGTTACATTTCAAATTCTAATTCCTCAATCACATTGAAAGAAATGTCATCTTCTTCAAACCACGAAATGCAAATGTATTTCACTTTGTGTCAAAACAATTAACGCCAAACGCCTGTACCTGCACTTCATCAGTCAACACGTGTCTCATAAACTGTTTACAACAGATTAATTCAACTACATTGAAAATATTCTGCCTCGATCTGCATGCTACTGTATTCAAAAATGATTACCTGAACTCCTGTCTAGTAACCGTCCATGGCTTGTGTTTCTGTGATCTTCTTTCAACTTAAACGTACGTCCTAGTAATGGATATGAATGAAAAAAAAATACCTGTGATTTTTTTGTTGTTTTTTTTTATTTGTCGAAGAATCATCGGTGACTATGACCTCATTCCCATAGACACCATCGGTCTAGACAGATCGATCCAACTCTGGGGGGACTCCTGCTGAGTGCAATCAATTGAACTGAATGGCACGCCTCCTGTTGTTTCCTAATATTCGTACCCGGTAGAATCACCAGTTTTTTTTTTTTTGTATTCTACTCAACGCCAGGAGGAGGCGTGTCGTTTTCTCAGCTTGATTGCACTCAGCGAGAGTCCCTGCAGAGTTGGATCGAACTAAGTAGACCGATGGCATCACTGGGAATGTGACCTATTTCTCTGACGTCTGTATGCCAAATCACGTATGACTTACTGAATTCCTCGCAGAGATAAGTAGCTGTAGCGAGGTCCCTAAGTGATGACAGTGATACGCACACCTGCTCCCCTTTTGGCATCGGTTTACAGAAATGTTTATCACTATCTGATTAAGTCTTCTTTACGACTTCTCATTTGCCAAATCGCCTGGGGCAAGCATTCTACCACAACGTTCAAAATTTTGTAGTTATTGACCTACCAGGGCGTGGTTTCTGTCAACGCAAAACGTGTTTTTGCTGTTGAGGCTATGCTATGTCTTAATCGTGTAAAACAAGGAGGCTTTACGTCCGAACTAGCTTTTGTCGCGTGATGTCCTGTTCTTACCCTCTGGCGAACTAGCCTTTCTGCAAAAAAGTCTTGCAATGATAGTTCGATGTTTTTGTTAAGGATTTAGAGTTAGGTGACAAAGTCGGTTTCAGCAAATCGTCATCCTTAACAATATCTACCTGGATGACAATGTTGAACACCTGGTAATCGTAAAAAGAGGTGAAAATTGCCTCCAAATCCGACCAAACTGGACCACTGATCCTGTACCTGCCTTTTATAATCTACAGCCTCCCACTGTCTTTCGTCTGAAGTCGACAGAGATTTACGTTCAGCGTCCGGCCTGTCGCACGAACATCCATTTTCTGCTCTAGCTCTGTCAGCGGGTTGCCGCCGTTAAAAAAGGATTCGGCGTTCCACCCAGTACCACGACAAATGTTTCCTGTAGCTCCCCTGGGGGAACACGACCCGCACATTTCCACTACTCTCGAGTTTACGTTTCGCAATGCATCAGTAATAGGCGTTATTGAAGACAGCGCACGCGAGCCGTTACAAAATAAGTGCACAAACTAGTGAAGAGACGCGACAGCATTGTAGTCGATGCTATCACTGCATTATACACGTTCCTTCCTCTGGCCGGCTTACACGGAATCACTGGGATCTCGTTTTGCAGCTTCTCTAACACATGGTGTTGCATTCTGTAATCTAAGGGTGCTTTCCAAGATTAAAATTTAGATCGACCTAACTCCTTGGGGGTTCACGCTAAATTGCAGTCAGCCGAGCGGGCACCATAGGTAATTACCCCCTTACAGCTTTTAGTAGGCGGGACAGACGCTTAAGCCGGCGAAGCTGACAGTAATCTAGTGAGACTCCCCACAGGGATACATCGATCTAAAAATCTATGGAAATGGGGTGTAAGCTACAGACTTTTTGTTTGAACATACGATGTGAAATACATGTGTATGTATAGCGTCATACACAAGAGAATTTCGTCACAATAGTAACAAGGAGGCCGCGTGCGATGCTCACAATGCCACATTTGAAATGTTTTAACCAATGGGTGTAATTGCTGAAAACATTTTTCATCGAGGACATAGTTAAAATGTGCGTTCACACACGGTCTAGCTGAGAGCGAAAGTGAGCTTTAATTTTTTTATTGGCTTTCGTATCACAACAACTTGGTGGAATACTTGTGTATTCGTATAAATAGGTCTATTTTATCTTTTTAATTTTTGTTTTTATTCCAATCTGTACATTTGATTGATGTTATTTCCCTTTTCCCCAGTATAAAACTATTGATTCTTTGAAAATTATCTTGGCAAAAAGTTATAAAAAAATAAAAATAAATAAATGAATAAATAAATAAATAAATAAATAAAATAAGAATGAAAATTTTGAATCTCTGAGGGGGTAACAAATTGAAACCGTGTTCTGCAATTTTAGGGCACACAGAATAGATTGAAGACACTGTTGAAGAAAAGGGACCATCAGTCGGTGTGAGGACAGGACCACAACAGGGCCAGAACAATGGATAACAATGGTGTGTCGTGATCAGGAAATCTCGTGACAGGAGAGCAAAGCAGAGGTTCTAAACGCGCAGCGGTAAATGGACTTTTCTTGCTGTCGCCGTATAGGTCATAATTCACTGACAAATACGAACCAATCAATCAATAAGGCAACATTTACTGCGTGGTTGATTTTGAGTACGATTCTTCCTGCAGGGCGTAGATATGAAGCGTGAAATGGGAGGAAACGTTGTAAAAGAGTTTTACGATTCCGGGTGGGGGAAATGTGCTAAATATGTAACCATGATTATGCGATAAATCACCCGTCGGTTAATTACTCGCTGTGTCGTAAAGATAAAAGTATTATTGCGGTAATAGTGATGGAGGTTTTAGCGATTTGTATACTGCTTTGTGCGGTCAACCAGTCAAGGTTATTTGTGAGGACAAAGGTTTGTTTGTTGTTGTTTTTTTTTAATTTTAATAGATTTATTTTAAGGACAAGAACGTCGTCAAAATTCAGCCTATTGCGCATAAAGTGTCACTTATGATAGTTATATTATCTATAGCTAGATTGTCCTGCTGTTTTGGGAGACTACAGAACCCTCAGCTAGAGATCAGCCATTTAGCAGTTACTCTGGAAATGTAACATCCTCGAGTTTTACATATGCTAGAGTTACACATCCCTCTTTGAAACAATACAAAATAATTTCACAGTACGCTAGGACCTCCAGCCTGCGTTTCTGAGAAATCAAGTTCTATCCACCTGCTACTCAGATAGCTGCCACTGCTGCAGTAACTATTGCCCGACACTAGCACGACTATTATTGTCCAATGACAAAAAGGCTTTTAAAATTTGTGAATCATATCATGTATAGACACTTTCGGTCACATTTTGCCCCTTTATACCCATATTATTAACAAAGTGGGATGCATTGGGATATATTGGTGTATGCGTAATGAGTGCCATAAAATAAGGAGATAATATGTTTGCTGTTAAATTTTCAAATCCATATTCTGTTCTGATATCTGAATTCCATCTTGTTTGAGCAGTTCAGTATTTTCCATGTATGTTCAATGACCAACATGAAAAGGGGTTGGTAAATTTAACTGATATTCATTCTAAAATACATTTTACAAAGAAAGTAGGAAAACACAAATCATTCAAACGTGATCTACATCAATAATTTTTCATTTTTGTCAGGCATATACATTTTGTAGGCATACTGGTACCCCTGTAGTTTAAGTAGTCATTGGGCCTATAATATAAATTATTCTTAAAAAATTGAGAGAGTTTTCAATAACTTGAAAAACTATTATCAAACACAAAAAGATGGGTTGGCCATGTTGACCCCTACTTTGCAGCATTTTGGCTGATTTAGTTTTCTTTCTAGTCGAAGGGCATTTAATTTTATTTTTTAAATACTGGAAAGTAGTTAACACACAGCTTCAACCACAGGACCAAAATTTGAAGATTTAATTATAATAAATTTAAAAAATAATAATAATAGGAAGAAGAAGAAGAAGAACGACAATAACAACAACTAACAAATCCATCAATAAAATCAAGTTGTGCTATGAGGCACATCTAATGCAATGCTGTGACGTCCATTGCTATATTACAACCAATGTTTGATGCCCGTGTCACATCTACCGCAATCAATATGCCATGCACTTAGAACGGGACGCATTTGGAACATTCCACCAAGGCTCGATTGATGAGCGTTCAGTCGATGATGCGTAAAGATCCAGAATCGTAAGAAGTTAACCGAATTCATGCCCTTAAGTGTGGCGATCTTTATACAATAAAAAACTATATGAATAAAGATAAAGAGATAATGATACACAAAATAGTATCATAACGATTTATTGTGAGTTCATTGGCTAATATCTCACTGTGCTGCATCCATAGCCATTAGTTTTATAAATGCTGAGTAATACTACATAATAACTAATTGTCTTTAACATTTATAATTGTCCTTTTTATATTGTGAGCACCGCTTAGTTTTTTTTATTTAAAAAAAGTGTATGAGTGTGGTACCATTGGCATTACCTTACCATAAATTGTATGGGAGCATTTCAGCAGCACATGCAGCGATATGCTGGGGAAAATTGGGATAAATAAATAAATAAATAAATAAATAAATAAATAAATAAATGATATTGCAAAAGCGACTATACTGGAGAAAAGTTGAGAAATAATAAATAAGTTGGC